AAAGGAGGGTCGGCGAAACCTGCGGCTGCTCGGAGCATGGCCACAGGTTAAGCTGGTGAGCGGCGTAGCGAACGGCGAACGGCCACAGAAAATAGGGTGCACCGGCATGGATCATGGAGGTACGAGCCACCTCCATGACCAAGCCGATGCGGCGCTCAGCAACCCCATTCTGCTGTGGCGAGTCCGGCAAGGTGTACGACTGGGTGATGCCCTCCGCACGACAGAACTGTCCAAGCCGACCAGAAGCGAACTCTCCGCCACGGTCAGAGTGGAGACACAACACGGGGAGACCGCGGTGAAGACGTGCAGCCACAACCCACGGGAGAAGAACGTCGGGCCCGTCGGCCTTCCGCTCCAGGGGAAACACCGTGGTGTAGCGCGTGTAGTCGTCCACGAGCACAAGAAATTAGCGCTCGCCACGCGGTCCGGGGACGGGGGCAGGGCCCCAAACGTCCAGGTGCAGGGTCTGAAGGGGAGCAGTGGCAGGGCGAAGAGAGGAGGAGTGAGGGGCACGGCGGAGCCGGCCCTTGACGCAGGGCGTGCACGGTGGAGCAAGCGAGAGGGGAAGGGTGGGGAGCGACTCGAGGAGGCCTAAGACAAGACCATGCTGGGACATGTCTTGCAGACGCGGGAGTGCAGGGTGACCTGGGCGGTGGTGCCACAAAAGGGACGGGTAAGTGAGAGACCGACACGAGCAAGCTGCAACGACCTGGGAGGACGCACCAACCGGGGGGGAAGCGGTATCTAGGGTGAACAGTCTGGACGCTGGGTCCCGGGGGAACGTAGCAAGTGGGGAACCAGAGACAGCCTCAGAACAGACAGCGAACCGCTCGTTCCCGGGGAACGTAGTGGTGACGCCGAGGTTCTGGAGATAGCCGACAGCAACCAGGTTCCTCGAGAACGAGGGAACGTGGAGGCCTGTAAGAGAGCCCGAGGGAACTGCTGGACAGGGAAGGGACGTGGAGCTGCGAGCGACGACGGGACCCACAGAGGGGTCAGCGAGAGAGACAACAGCAGGTGCAGCAAGCGGCGTATGCGTGGAGCGGTCGCGGAAGAAACAGGTAGAAGCACCGGAGTCGAGAGTGAAAGACAGCGAGGCAGTAGCGGAGGCTGGGAACGGAGCCGGTGCAGAACCTAGGCTAGGCAAACGAGGCAGTCCTATGCCTGACACAGCAGGGGAGGCTAAGCTACACAAGGGTGAGACACCTAAGCTATTGTACACAGGGTAATAAGATCCAACAACTCTAGAAGCGTCAGCATACAAAGCATGCAAAGCAGCACCTATCTGATCCATATCTAACTCAAAGATCGGCACGCGCTGGCGAAGCAGGCTGTGCCAGTCGGGGAGGTTTGGGGCCGGGCCAAAGCGACGACGAAAGAGATCGTCGAGGCGGCGGAAACAGCGGGCGGCGGGACAGAGTGCTGCGGAGAGGTCCGGTCTGAAGCTGGTACTGGCAGGTCACAACACTGGAGCTGCCGGTAGACGCCAAGCTGCGCGGGCCACCACCTCGGCAACCACCGCCGGAGGTGCTGGGCCAACCAGGTGGGAGACGAGCCCACGGCTGCGACGGCTGCTGCTGGGACGGCGGCGTCTGCTGCTGGGGCTGCTCCGGCTGCGAAGGCGACTGCGTCTGCTCCTGCCCACCGGTGGTAGTCCCCTCAGGTGGACTACCGTCACCACCACCACTACCACCACCACTAGTGCTACTACCACGACCTCCCTGGCGGCCACGGCCACCGCCACGCCCACGGCCACGGCCACGACCTCCCTGGACCGCAGCAACCGTTTCGATAAGAGGGGTCGTAGTGGCGACCACAGCCGAAACGTCAGTTATCGTGCACTGGGAGGGGGCACAACCGTAAAAGATAGAGACTACTGACGCACCGCTCGACTGAGCGATAGTGCGCTGGCGCGTCTCGATCTCGGTGAGGGTGTCGACAAAGGCGGTCAGTGTGAGGTCACCCGGGTGCTGGCTAAGGAAGCGGTCGCGGGCACTAGCTAGGCGGTCCAGCAGGCGCATGGCGATAAAAAAGAGGGTCATGCAAAACGGGGGGGGGGCTCAGTGAGCTGGGCAATAGTGTTGGCAGTGCGATAGCGAGTCTCTAAGGCACGCAAGTAAGTGGCAAAGTCTGCGACAGTAGGGAAGGCAGCAAGGTCTGGTAACAGAATCGGGAAGAGCAGGCGACTGGCAGAAGCGGATGCAGGTATGGAATAGCGAGCAATAACATCGTCTAAATCAGCTTTGGCCATATCAACTGTAGCGAAACGCGAGCGCTCAGACACAGGGAGGGCGTGACTGATAGCAACCTGAGCTACTGCATCGCGTGAGTCCCAGACCGCACAGGCAAGCGCTGCAGTAGAGAAAGCCTCACTCTCAGCGGAGGTGGGGTCAGCAGGGAGGGGAGCAGGTGCAAGGGGGCGGGGGAGGAAGCCATCAGCATGGACAACCAGCGAGTGTCCATGCTGGCGCTGACCTGTAAGCTGACGGCGGAGATCGGAGAGCCAGTCGACGAAGTCAACCATGTGGCCCTCAGCATCCCGGCGGAGCACGAAGTCAGCCATCATGCAGGGTCAGCGACACATCTTCTCAGCGACACAGCGGCACAGCTCCATAGCTCGACAGGAGCACAGCGGCACAGGGACACAGTGGCAGCAATCTCAAGTAGGGCGGCTGCGGGGCGCCCCAGCGCGGGCTAGCAGAGGACATGGGGCCCGAGGTGGCATGGCAGGCCGAGCAGGCACGAGGAGGGGCCAGGCTGGCAGGAGGAGGGGCCGGGCGGGCGCACTGGGACCGGGCGGGCGCTAGGAGGGGCCTAGCACGCGCGGGGCGGCCGGGCAGGTGCGACTGGGGGCCGGGCGAGCTCGAGGAGGGGCCGGGCGGGCGCTGCTAGGGCTGGCTAGGAGCGGGCTCGTCGGTCAGTGAGCCGGCCAGGAGCGGGCGCGTGGGGCCAGGGGAGGGGCCAGGTAGGAGCGGGCGCGACGGCTAGTGGGGCCAGCTAGGGGCGGGCGCGAACGGCCAGGGGGGCGGCTAGGAGCGGGCGCGAACGGTCATGGGGCCTGCTGGGGGCGGACGTGACGGCCAGGGGGCCGGCTAGGGGCGGACGCGACGGCCAAGGGGCCAGCTAGGGGCGGACGCGACGGCCAGGGGGGCGGCTAGGGGCGGTCGCGACGGCCAAAGCGCCAGCTAGGGGCGGACGCGACGGCGAGGGGGCCGACAAGGGGCGGACGTGACGGCCAGGGGGCCAGCTGAGGGCGGACGCGACGGCTAGGGGGCCAGCTAGGGGCGGACGCAACGGCCAGTGGGCCGACTAGGGGCGGACGCGACGGTTAAGGGGCCAGCTAGGGGTGGACGCGACGGTTAAGGGGCGGCTAGGGGCGGACGCGACGGCCAGGGGGCCGGCTAGGGGCGGTCGTGACGGCCAGGGGGCCAGCTAGGGGCGAACGCGACAGCTAGGGGGCCGACTAGGGGCGGACGCGACGGCCAAGGGGCCAGCTAGTGACGGACGCGAAGGCCAGGGGGCCGGCTAGGGGCGGACGAGAGACTAGGGCGCGGGCGGAAGCGGGCGGGGGGACCTAACCTACTCGATACCATGTTAGATTACGTGAATGCTTTACTAGAAGGAGAAACCTAGAACATATACCTGTTGGGTTGTACTCACTAGAAACACACACCTAGTCTAGCCTATAACTTCTACATAGATCATATGTATAAGTTGACAAAACCAACACCACTGCCCGATGCTACACCGACCTTCACCGCTGTAATATTACTATGACGGCTGGGCAATTAGTCCTTCTCGATACGAAGAACCTCTGCTTGCCCCTGCCATCCAAGCTATGACCCCGATACTGCAGGCCATTCCGCATCCTCAAGATGGTGACATTTATTACTCAATGATTACTCCCGGACAAGTGGCGTATTCACGATGCCTTTTACGGCATCTCCTTCGACCATACGTCCCAATACGTCAGCTGTCACACGCCCAGCAGCCGTCCCCAGTGTCTGCCCCATGGCCAAACCAACGCTCAAACCTTTCAAACTTCTGAGTCATCGGGTTCGCTTTGACTCTACAGGCCGCCACGTGGATTTCCTGGTCCGCTGGACCGACAGTACAAGTGAAGACGACGCCTGGGTCCCTTCCAACTCGCTTCAGAAACATTCGGTCCTCAAAACCTATTTGACCCGAAAACGTGTTCCCGATATTGACCACCTTTCTTAAATGGGGGGTAGTGGAAGGAATTTTATACGATAGTATTGCATCGCGTACACCCGGCCTCTCCGAAGACCAGGCTCATTCCTATTTTGATGCAACCCCGAGGCTGTCTCGCTTCGCCTCCAGCCCTTTCGACCGTGCCTGTACCCAACCTAGTCCTCCGGGGTCCTCGCCAAGCTAGGACTCTCGCTATATCTTGCTAGGCTCATCTTTGCACTCGTAATTTTTATTCCGCGCACTCTCTGTTATTATTCATAATAATATATATATATATATCATAATATTCCCATCCATTTTGTTCCGCAACACAGAATCCATCCATCCATCCATCCATCCGTCCATCCATCCACCCATCCATCCATCCATCCATCCATCCATCCATCCATCCATCCATCCATCTATCCATCCATCCATCCACCCATCCCCTATTAGCGCTGCTTCACAAGCGGTATTTGCATACATAAAATATTTTAGTATATATTGAACAATGTTGAGTACTTATTCGTAAGGTTTGTTCTTGTATTGCTGAGCAATACGTAGTATTGCTCGTTCTTTTGCGTAACACTGTGCTGATATCGCGCATTTCTGTTTCGCTTGTATCTGTGTCGTTTGGTGCCTTGTTCTTTTGCCGCGTTCTTGAAGCACAAAATTGACTTCGCCTGGCTGATGGCTGTTTGTTCGCCAGTTTTCCCGCTGGGCTCGGCGCGCTAGGGACAGACACACACACAGCCAGCGAAATTGGCCGCTGCTTCACAAGACACTCAGTGACTTGGCGAGATCACAGGAACACCACACCACCTGAGAACCTGTTCAGCAGAATGTTCTTCTCTGCTCCTGCTCCGGCTGTCCGCCATGGACTTCTTGCATCATATGCTGTCATATACTGGTTCACCTGGACTTGCACGGCACGAGACGTTTCACCGATCCATGGGCTTTAGCGTTGTTCATCCAATGATCCTGGAACGATGCGCGGACCTCCAAGCCACACGTTCAGCACGGGAGAACAATGGCTCTCCTTCGCCCGCACTTTCGTCTTGCTCCTGGCCCTGTCTATCGTCATGGATTCCTACGTGACGCATACAATTCAGGTCCCTTATTACCCCTCCTAGCTCCTTTTTTGCGAGCCGCTTACTTCGTGCTCATGGCGTCGCTTTAAGTCTAAATTCCCTTTTCGTTTCCATTCTCCCGTGGCGACAGGCAAGCGCTGCGCACCCACGCGTCGCGATGTGCCTCATTGGCGGGGCTCGGCACTTCGAGCTCACAGCAGCATCCCTAAAGCGGTATGGCGGCGGCGTTCTTCCACTATTCGACCCCGTTTCTTTCCCGTTTCTTTCCCGCTCCTCTCGCGTCTCGCACGTCTCTCACTTCCTCTTGCGACTCCCTCGGCTGCTTCGGTTTCTGCCAGCAAACGAGCCACATGAGTCGCCGGCAAATGGCTGCTCCCCTGGGTTAATCATTTCGTTTTTATACGTCTCGAAACGAAGGAGTGCATCGTCCTTCCCTCTCCTCCATCCCGCCATGAGCTCACTCACCTGCTGTCCGCCCATCAGTCGTCGCGTCCCGTCGCCATCGCATCTCTCTAAAACGCCATTCCTTACCATCCACTCTCCGCCATTCTCCCACACACGTGCAAATCGCAAATCCCTCTCCCCCTCCCTTCCTCCCCCTCCCCCCACTTTTTCCACACCTCACGTAACACGTGTCACTCCCGTCGCTAGGCACGTGCTGTCAGCGTATCCGGGCGCGCACGCCTTTCTCATCGCGTCTCTGGACGGGGACGCCAAAAAGCTCGCGCTGCTGGCGGCCCACCCCTCCGTCGTGTCCGTGTCTGTGAGCAGGCAGGCTCGGATCAACGAAACGCACTTCCCCACACACGTCCTGGCTGTGCCGAGTGTTCAGGTGGGTGGGTGGGTGGGTGGATGGGGTAGTTTGTGGGCTGGGCGTGCATGCACATGTGCGTGTGTGTGCGTGCGTGTGTGCGTGTGTGCGTGCGTGCGAGTGCGTTTGCGAGTGCATGTGTGCAAGTGTGCGTGCGTGCATGTACTCGTGCGTGCATGTACTCGTGCGTGCATGTACTCGTGCATGCATGTACTGGTGCGAGCATGTACTCGTGCGTGCATGTACTCGTGCGTGCATGTACTCGTGCGTGCATGTACTGGTGCGTGCATGTACTCGTGCGTGCATGTACTCGTGCGTGCATGTGGGGGTGAACATGAGATGGAGAGCTAGGAGGTGTTTGATGTTCCAGGCAGTTCTTCAGTCATAGGGCTAGAGCCAGAAGAAGTCCGGATTCCGTGTGGAATGTGGTCGTCTGGCCTTCTTGAGTGAGCTGCAAAGTTTGCAAGTGACCACAAACCATGTTAGACCTTCAGATTTCCGTTCCTGCTACTGAATCCTTGCTCTGCTGTTTCAGTTTAGCATGTTCACTGAGGTTTTTGCTGTGCCGTATCCTCTGTTGCTCTACGATCGTCCACATCAGGGGCAGCTGCATCAGTTTTTCAAGATAGAGCAATGTGCTGCAGCCATCACATCTTTCGAGCGCAAACACGGGTTCAAATACGTATGGATCTTGTGGACAAGACTTGATACGTACTGGACGGCCCCTCCTCCGCCATTGCATTCTCTGAATCCAACGGCCTACGTTGTGCCATGTGGCAGCCCATGGGGCGGTCTCAATGACCGTTTCGGCATGGCGTGCCGAGACATCGCATTGGGCGCTCTAAAACGGTGGGTGTATGTGTGTGCGTGTGTGTGTGTGGGTGTGGGTAGGTATGGTTCATCGCAATCTGCTTCATTCCCACATACATGCCCTAATGGAGCCTCTAACTTCGCAGGCAACTAGTACCTCTCGCACTCAACATGTTCTCCTGGTGAACCCTCTCACAGCCTATCGTCCCTGCAGCAGCTGGCGCAGGCCAACCTGTCTCGCCTGAATGGGGAGAAGGCCCTGCAGCACCAGCTGCGCCTGCAAGGCATCACAGCCACGCCCTCTCCCCTGCCCTTCTGCGTGCTGTCTTTTCGCCGGAAGCTCTTCAACGGCTATGTGTTTGCACCTCTTCGCTCCGCAAGTGCTGCTGTTGGCGTCTCCTGTCGCCCGTGCCATCCCATGCCCGCGCCTGTTCGAGCTTCGCGTAAGGAACAGGCCACTGGCAATCGTACAATGGGTCACATCTGTCGTGATGGCTGTGCTGCAAAATGCATGACAGGGAATCCAATACGGACTAGTGATGGGAGGTGCAACCCTTGGCGAGGATACGAGCCGGGCTGGCAGCAGATTTTCTTGAAAGGCGCATCAGATGAGGAGAGAGACACACTGGAGTACGCATCACAGTTGATCAGGAAGCGGTGTGAGGAGGAATGGGAGCGGTGGAGAAAGACGGCTCTAGTGTGGGATTGCCCTAGTGCTCGTGATATTTGTGGGGCTGCCTCAGCGTGCACCAAGGGAATATGCAAGATGCTGTAGGGTACAGATTAATTTCCTGCCTGTTGGAAATATCTCAAGGACTTAAGCGTTTCTGAAGTGTAACACTGTACTCGAGGAAGATTACAGGGGAACACGCGAGTCAACGGAGGTTACACGAGGGGGCGGACAAAGAATGCGAAAGGACTCGAAAGGTCGCAACTGGAGGTTGCGACTGACCGTTACAACATCACGGATGGTAACCGAAGCGGCAATCGAGTCGCTGTGCGACTCGATAAACCGTTCCTGTAACTGTATTCTACAACTGCTTTCTTATCTTCTATATATTGCTGTATGCTTGTTTCTTTAATCAATCACTTGTTCTCACATACTAGTACAAGGGTTCAACTGTCTCAACTTCCGCTGCACTACTCCAAGTCTCAAGTCTCTACAGCTGGGACTTTGTCTCTGCAAAAGATCCTAAGGGCTTTTCTTAGCCCAACATGGTATGAGAGCTGGTCAGAGACCAAACTCCCAGCAACTACGTTCTATCAACAACCTGCAACTCAACTCAATTCAACAACTTCATTGATTGCAAGACATGGACAACAAGCGCAAGAAAGTCTCTACGGGCTCACCCAGCAGCCAAGAAACTCAACACGGCAACTCTGGTCTGCACACCTCAGGACTGCAGACAGAAACCGGGACTGCTCAAGAAACAACGGGAAGAGTACCAGAGATGGTGACTCCGTCTCCCTCTTCAAGTGTGGACCCAAATCTCATGGAGAGATTCTTCAGCTTCATGTCGCACTTCGACCAGCAACAGCAGACAAGGACACCTGCGCACTCAACACAGAGCAATGGAGGGAATATGGGATTAGCGCCGATGAGCCTCGACAACTCATCCTTCGGGCGACACAACCAAGCGCCTACCTTTGCGCCTTATCATTCTTCGCCGGGGACGTTCGAATTCATGCCGCCCCGTGCCCAGCCAACAGCAGCTGCTTCACAACAAACACCGAATGAAATCTTAAGTTTACAGGCGCAGTTCTCACACGTGATCAAACTTCAGACATCCTCACCGTTCAACGGACACGACTTCTTTACCTGGAGCTTCGAGTTCGAGCTGCTGATGGAGGCCGCGCATCTTCTGGGATACTTCAACGGGTCCCTGCCATTCCCAAGCAACGGCACTGGGAAGGAACAAGAGATCTTCACGTATCAGTCGCTGCTGGCGTACACGGTACTCCTGAGAAACCTGTCACCACAAGAGCAGCAGAGCATCAGAACGTATCGGAGTTATGGAAACTCCGCGGAGCTCGCATGGCACCACCTCAAATGCCTTTACCAAGCAAACGACAGCGTGACACAAAGCAGACTCATGCAACAGCTGACAACAATACAGATGAAGACCGGGGAAAAGGCGATGCAGTATATGAGTCGCTGCCAGACCCTTCGCGACCGCCTGCTTCGGTGCGGAGGAACGATCACTGAAGAAAGCTTCGTGACACTTGTCCTCGCCGGGCTCGGGCCAGAATGGAGAACCACACGATCACTTCTTCGAGCCCACGGAAGAATTTCGGAGATGCACCTCTGCGCCGAGCTTCACGCTGAACAACAGGAGATGGATCTGTTCGAGGAAAGACAACCAAGGAAGCAACAGCAGTTAGTCTTCTACACTCAAAAAGGAAATGACAACAACTACAACCGACGCAGCAAGCAAGATCAACGCGACAACCGAGGACTCACCATCGTGCCGCCGTTCTGCCACAACTGTCAGACTTCCGGGCACTCCAAGGTCAACTGCAACCGCCCTCGCGTTTACCGTGCAGCAGACCCACAAGTCGCTTCCACTCAAGTAAGTCCTCCAAGGCGCTCTTCAACATCTGCACAACAAACACCCAACATCATCAACTGCATGGTACACATCGACAACTGCGCACCCGCTTCACCACCCACTTACGCACCAGACGAAGAGGAATTCCCGCCGCCGCGCTCGCAAGGACTTCAGGTCAACCCGACATACGCTGCAGTCGCTAACGCCGAACCCACCGGGCGGAACACCTGGTTCTTGGACAGTTGCTGCGGTCAGCACATGTGCTCCTCCGGACGCTTCGTACAACACGAGCGACGCCTCAACCGCGACGTCGTCATCACCGTCGCCAACAACGAAAACCTGAAAACAAACAGGCAAGGCGTGGTTCAGTTACAATCAATGGAGACAAACGTTATTCTTCAGCTCAACAAAGTCCTCATCGTCGACAATCTGGGATACAACCTACTAAGCGTAAGCCAACTAATGGCTAAGGGGATTCACCTGGAGTGCGACTCCTTCTCCAACGAGTTCCGACTTTACCACGGGAAGGGCGGTCTCTTCATCGGTCGTGCCCTCCTGAAGTCCGGTGTCTTCGTGTTGGACTTCGTCCCCGACCGCGGAACTGCCGACAGCGATGGCATCGTATCGTTCGCCGCCTGGACTCACCCACCAGATCTTGATCCCGACTTCGACAGTGACGGCTTCTGGCACTCCAACACCATACCTGCAGCAGAGAGAACACGGGCATTAGCAGTTATCAGACAAGAAAGACAAGTACCAGCAAGCGTCCCAACAAAACCATCACCTGCAGTATCGGCAGCAGGACCCAGCCGAGTACCACCACCATCAACACGAGGACCGCCAACGGAAGCAGACCAACTTATGCCCGCCACACGAGAAGCTTGTCGAAGTCCCGCCTCGGTCGTCGCGTTCTTCTCCAACGCCGACATCTACCACCGCTCGCCCGGTCACCGCGCTCCCGACGACATCTGGCACCAACGTCTCGGACATCCTGCAAACAGCACGATACTACAAACAATACAAGCAGAGGTGTTAGAACGTAACGCCCTTCTAACGACGAGCGGCCAAGAACTTCGCCGACCAAGAGCACGATGCTTCACGTGCCCCGAAGCAGATCTTCCTCATCAACCTTTCCCAGCCCATCACAATCCAAGCGCACCCACTTACGCTCCGATGGAAAAGGTCTACAGCGATATTCTAAACATGCCTCGAGACGACACCGAAGCCGACTTCAACTACGTCATCACGTTCATCGACGCCGCAACCAGATACGTCTGGCACTTCAATCTCAAAACGCGCGATCAAGCCTTCGAGGCCTTCACCACATGGCTTCCAATCGCCGAACGAGAATCAGGAACCAAACTCAAAAGTTTCCAGTCAGACGGTGCACTGGAATACCAGTCACAACGCTTCAGGACCTATCTCACGGAAAGGGGAATCCGACGCCTGGTGTCTCTGCCCTATGCTCACCAGCAGCAGGGGGTAGCAGAACGCATGAACCGGACCTTGCAGACGACGATGCGAAAACTGCTTCTGGGGATGAGGCTGCCCAATACACTGTGGCCAGACGCGATGACACATGCAGTCCACCTGCACAACCTGTTGTCCTCGTCATCGCTCCCCAACAACGCATCACCGCACCTGCTGTGGACGGGAAAAAGGGGCAGCACAAAATTACTTCGAGTTTTCGGCTGCATGGTACAATACAGACCCCACACAGCTCGAGCAGGACGCTTCACTCAACGAGCTCGGTGGGGACTACACCTCGGCATCGCCAAACATTTTCACGCGTGGAAGATTCTCGACATACACGACAAAAATACGGTGGCATCACGTGATGTTATCTTCTACGAGCGACTGACGCTGCAGCATTACCTGGACAACATTGCCAACTCAGACGACCCCACCGACGGCTTCGCGGGCCTTCGCTCCTTCGCTGACCATGCTGCCGAGGCTGACGCAGCAGAAGAAGACGTCCCTGGAGCCTCGGAGGCTGCCGGATCACTCCCCTACTGCTCCGTACCTGTTCCACTCGATGAAGATAATCCCCTCGATAGCAACAACCTCGACACCTTTTACCACTTCGCTGACCAAGGCTACGCTACACCACACCCCGTCGACTCGAATATTTCCGAACGCATCGGGCCAAACTTCTTACCCGATCCTGAAGACGGTGATGAAGCAGCTTATCCCGAGAATGAAAACTCCCCTCGACACACAGCCACGGGACTGCAGATCCTAGGACTATGGGTCTCCGTCCAGCACCCGCCGCCGCCTTCTCCGCGCGAGCCGTCGACCCTGTCGCAGGCTCTGGGGGGGGAACATAAGGCACAATGGAAGGAAGCGATGGAAAAAGAGTTAAAAGCTCTGCAAGACCGAGAAACATGGAAACTGGTACCTGCAACGAGCATCAACGGGAAGAACATTCTCTCGGGGAAATGGGTGTACCGCATCAAGACCAACTCAGACGGCTCCATCGAACGATTCAAAGCTCGATGGGTCGTACGAGGCTTCGATCAACGATACGGAACCGACTACACAGAAACCTTCGCTCCAGTCTCCCGTCACACCTCTCTGCGCATCCTACTCGCCATCGCGGCCACGAAGAAACTACCACTACGGCAAATCGACGTTGCAAACGCCTTCTTGTACGCACCTGTGGACGCCGAAATCTTCGTCGAACAACCCCACGGATTCATCGACGACCCTTCAAAAGTATGCCAGTTAGAAAAATCCCTTTACGGGATCAAGCAAGCCCCACGGCTCTGGCAGCAGCACCTTCACGGCCGGCTCGTAAAAATCGGATTCCTACAGTTACCACATGACCAAGGCATGTACCGACTACAGAAGGGAAGAGATTACATTCTGCTCATCGTCTACGTCGACGACCTGCTCTACATCGGTTCTACCACCGACATCGTCACCTGGTTCGAAGGGGAGCTGAAAAGGGACCTGACGCTCACGGTGTCCGACGAGGTGACGCAGTACCTAGGACTGAACGTCGTCGAAGACGACACGGCGTTCTACCTACACGCTGGAAAGTACTCAAGCACCGTCGCGAAGAAATTCGGTCTAACACCGACTGCGGTCCCAACTCCCTACCGCTACGGGAACAACAGTAGCGCCTCCACAAAACTCCCCGCGAAACAAATCCAGGAGTATCAACAGAAGCTCGGCTGTCTACTATTCGCAACAGTAACCTGCCGACCCGACCTATCCTATAGTGCGAGCCAGCTGGCGACACATCTGAAGCAGCCGCAACAGGAAGATCTCGAAGAACTCAATCGAGCGCTACTCTACTTCGTCTCCACGCCGACGATCGGGCTCACCTACAACAAGGCAACAACACCGTCCGTACGACTACTCGGATACGTCGACGCCGACCACGCGGGAGACAGCGAAAATCGACGGTCTAGGACGGGCTACATCTACCGACTAGAACCTATCGGAACTATCTCCTGGCAGTCGAGCAAGCAGGAGTTAATCGCACTATCCTCGGCTGAAGCAGAGTATATCGCCCTTTGTACTGCGACCAAGGAAGGACTCTACTTACGAGAGTTACTCGAAGAAGCGAAGATCGCGACCCTGCCCACCTTCTCACTCCTCTGCGACAACCAATCTGCGATAAAAATCGCGAACAAGGACGGCTTCGCCAACCGAACCAAGCACATCGCCCTGCGGTACTTCTTCGTCAAGGATGAAATCGCGAAGGGGAGACTTCAACTCAGTTACTGCCCGACGACAGAAATGGCCGCAGATTATCTGACGAAGAAATTGGCGAAAGCAAAATTCGACTACTGCATGCTCCTAACCGGGCAAACAAACGTCACCGGATCTGAACACTCCAGCACTCCAGAAACGAAGGGGAGTGTTGGAAATATCTCAAGGACTTAAGCGTTTCTGAAGTGTAACACTGTACTCGAGGAAGATTACAGGGGAACACGCGAGTCAACGGAGGTTACACGAGGGGGCGGACAAAGAATGCGAAAGGACTCGAAAGGTCGCAACTGGAGGTTGCGACTGACCGTTACAACATCACGGATGGTAACCGAAGCGGCAATCGAGTCGCTGTGCGACTCGATAAACCGTTCCTGTAACTGTATTCTACAACTGCTTTCTTATCTTCTATATATTGCTGTATGCTTGTTTCTTTAATCAATCACTTGTTCTCACATACTAGTACAAGGGTTCAACTGTCTCAACTTCCGCTGCACTACTCCAAGTCTCAAGTCTCTACAGCTGGGACTTAGTCTCTGCAAAAGATCCTAAGGGCTTTTCTTAGCCCAACACTGCCTGTACCAAAAATATAGCCTAACAATTTTTTTTCAGCAAAACACACCATGTGTCAAACATATGTATAACTCATATTTGTATAGACTGTATAGGGTCACCTCTTAAAGGGTACAACACTCTTAGGTATATACCCTAAACCCTAAACCCTGAGTTACAACTGTAACGCGGATATACCAGCCGCGACGGTTCGGCTTTCCCCGAAGGTTACTTGCGGTTTGCAACCGCTGGCAAGATGACGAGGAGAGGAATCGACAGGAATATCGGGCGCATACAGGTTGGATGTATGCGGGATCAACCGTTTGAGTTCGGGTGATTGGAGGTTGCGGGCAGTTTATAATCGCACGCAACCGACCGGCAGCTCGGATGACTGACGGTTTTATGCGATTGCCAAGCCGCGAAGCGATCCGAGTCCAAAATAAGGAGTTACCGCCTCATGGAGCGGAGTATAAATATAGAGATCCTAGCTTGTATGAAACATTCATTATCTTGCATCGATCTCCTGTATTATCCATTGATATACAAAGGCTCCTGAGTCACTCCCTTGCAACCAACGGTCCAACACTTGGTATCCCTCGGACGGGCGATGAAGCCAGTTCCCAACTGACCCCCGGCAGTGGGTGATCAGTGCGGGATCCCCTTGGGCTTAATAGGCCTGAGACAGAGGCATATATCCGGTTGACAAGGCCGGTTGGGAGCTCGAGGCGTTTGGTCAAGACCCCCTTTGTGTACTGGAAGGATAAACGGAACGAGTCGATCGAGAGCCGACATTGACAGAGCAGGCAAGCGGAGGAGTACAAGAAATTCAGAAAAATTAATATATTTCGGTGGTATCAGAGCCCGTCTTCTCCCTTCTGGCGAGAGGAACGATCCAACCATGGCCAACGCTTCCAAGATTGAGATGTATATGGAGGCTCAGGCGTACCTCACCCGAATCCAACGGCGCTTGAGTGTTGACTGCGACGACAACACGACGATCGAGCGCAAGATTGACATCATTCTCAATAATCTGAACGGCAACGTCCTCATGTGGGCCGAGGCCCAGAATTTCAAGACGGTTGAGGAGTTTGTAGCAGCATTCAAGGCTCGCTGGATGGCGACGTCCAGCGCCGAGCTCATCACTGCTCTCCACTGCATCAAGCAAAAGCCGGGTCAGACGGCTTTAGAGCTCTTGGATACGTTCAAGTGCGTCACCAAAGATCTCGTTGGGTATCCGACTGAATCCATCCTGCAACTTTACATCAACGCCCTCAATGATACCATCTTGCGCGAGCGGATTCTATCCCGATGCCCGAAGGAGCTGAATGATATAGAGGCGGCAATCCTCTATTATACGGCATATGGAGGGACTACCCAGGACAACAAAAAAGTTATGTTCAAGGAGGATACGAAGGCTGGAGCGGACCTTCTGGCGGAAGAGATGAAGAAGTTGCGTATTCATCTCATGACCCAACCCAGTCGACCGCCCGAAGCCAGGACGTATGAGAGGAAGACTGGACCGGTCACTTGTCATATTTGTAAGGCGCCTGGGCATTTTGCCCGCGAATGTCCCAACAAAAGAATGGCCCGTCAGAGCAATATGATGCAGACGGTGGCAGAGAAATCCCCTATCGCTGCCTTTCTCGAGGCTGACGAAGCCTCCTTCGCTTTGACCGGGATCAAGCGCACCCGTCAAAGCCCAGTTCGAGACCCCCAAGGGTGGACCGTAGACGAAGCACAGGAGGAGATTCGTCGTCGAGCTGAAGCGGAGTCCGCTCCAAATCGACGATTCGTCTCGCGCACCAGCGTCAGCACCAACAAATATCTCCCAATCGAGCAGCTCAAGCGAACCAAGGCCGATATTAGCCTGTGGAATTACCTTAGCGATTGCACCCGTGCGAGGAAGGAACTCATCGAGGTCCTGCAGACGCTGCCGGATGATGGAGCAGCAGCCGCCGCCCAAGGACCATTGACAAGTGCTCCCATGGCGACCAACGCCATGCTCCAACCCTCTTTCGCAATTCAAAAGGAAACCGTCAAGCCCGCCATAACATCCTATTCAGTCGTCCAGTGCCCCGTCCAGATGGGCCGACACAATATAATGGCGATCGTCGATTCAGGCGCATCGACGACTACCTTATCCCACGTCGTAGTCCGCCGCCTCGGACTACTCGAGTACCTCGAAAAATGCAACATCGAATTCATGACTTCGAGTGGAGACAAGTCGAAGCCGTGGGGTATTCTGAGGAACGTACCCATCCGCGTTGGGTCGCTCACCCTTCCCGTCGACATCCCAGTCACTGGAGCGATTAGCTACGACATGCTCCTTGGAAACGATTGGCTGGTACCCGCTTGTGCTTCGATCAATTTCGGAGAAAATACCCTGACATATCAACTCAACCCGACAGAAGTGGAGTCTATTCCGATCCTCTGCGGAAAGACAAGCGACGGCCACCCGCAATACATGGCAATGGAGCATCTGAAGCACCTGGGCGACAATACGGATTCCGAGTCGGAGTCCGGTGTCTCCGAGCTTGCGTGGGGGGAAGATTACTCTGAAATTGATTATTCTGATTACCCCGAAGCTGCGGACGAGATGCCAGAGCAGGAAAAGGGCGACACCATCCTGCTTGACAGCTATTACACGCTCAAGACTCAAGGACCGGTGGATGACCTTGAGACCGTCCATCCCGACATTCCAGCACCAGTCAGACCGGAGCTGAATGAGGAGCAAAAGAAGCAGCTCAGCGAGATGCTTACCGAATTCCTGCCGATTTTCGCCACCAAGAGTGACCAAATCGGACTGTACCCCCATCTGCAACTCCACATCGAGACCGTCACCGAAAATCCGATCGCTCACAAGCCCTACCGTGCGGCCCCAGCAGAGAAGGCGCTGATTGACAAAGAGGTCAAAACCCTTTTGGAACAAGGCGTAATCCGACCGTCTCATAGCCCATGGGCTGCCCCATGCCTCGTTATACCCAAAAAAGACTTCGGCATTCGAGTCGTCATCGACTACAGAAAGCTGAACGCCATCACCAAGAGCGCTGACCGTTTTCCCCTCCCGAGGATGGACGAGATCCTTGACCAGCTCCGAGGGGCACAGTTTTTCACCATCCTGGACATCAAGTCGGCATACTACAACATTGCAGTCGCCAAGCAGGATATCCCCAAGACCGCGTTCGTCACTCCAACGGGCCTGTACGAGTTCACTCGTATGCCATTCGGATTGAAAAACGCGCCCGCTACCTGGCAGCGTTTCATCATGGGAGTCTTTCGAGACCTCCCGTTCATCATCTGCTATCTGGACGATGCTGTCATTTGGTCGACCACTTGGGAAGAACACCTCCGGCACATCAAGCTCGCAATGCGGCGAGTCAAAGAGCATTCCCTACTCCTCAAAATCAACAAATGCAACTTCGGATTCAACAAGACGCCGTACGTGGGGCACATCATCAGCCGCGATGGAGTGGCCCCCGACCCGGAAAAGATCAAGTCGGTTCAGGAATGGCCGACGCCAGAGAATGTGAAGCAGATTCGAGGATTCCTCGGCCTGGCTTCATATTACCGTCGCTTCATCCAGGGCTTCGCCAAGATAGCAACCCCAATGAACCAGCTCCTCAAAAAGGAAACCCCATTCGAGTGGACCGACGACTGTGAGGAAGCATTTCAGAAGCTCAAGACAGCCCTCACCAGCTCGCCGATCCTCGTCTACCCCGATTTCACCAAGCCATTTCTCCTACAGACGGATTTCTCTGCTGAAGCCGTGGGTGCCATCCTCGCCCAGCGCGACGAACAGAATCTGGAGCATGTAGTGGCTTATGCAAGCCGTGCCACTCGAGGAGCTGAAAACAACCACGCCCCGACTCATGGAGAATGCTTGGCCGTCATCTGGGCCGTCAAGCATTTCGGTCCGTATCTATACGGATGCCGATTCACCGTCCAGACCGATCATCAGGCGCTCACCTGGCTCATGAACTCTCAGGACCTGACAGGGAAGCTCGCCCGCTGGAGCCTTCGCCTTCAGGAGTTCGATTTCGACATCCAATATAAATCTGGGGCATCTCATCGCAACGTCGATGCCCTCAGTCGCACCATCTTACCATCTTTCATGGCAGCTGTTTCGTCTCCCGAGGCTGAGGAAGGAGAGAAAAGCGAAGAAGGATCAACCGAACCAGGGTCGCCAGGGTGGTAGGGGTGGTGGCGCAGGTGGTGGTGGTGATGGTCGTGAGCGTAGTCCGTCTGGGGGGACTAGCATTGGTGGTCAGGAGCAGCAGCCCCAGCCGCAGCAAGAGCAGCCCACGCCGCAGCCGCCGTCCCAGCAGCTGCCGCCGTCCCAGCCGCAGCTCCCGCAGCAGTGGGCTCGCCCCCCGCCTGGTTGGCCCGGCACCTCCGGAGGTGGTGGCAAAGGTGGCGGCCCGCACAGCTTGGCGTCTACCAGCGGCTCCGGTGCTTTGACCTGTCAGTACCAGCTTCAGACCGGGCCCCTTCGCGGCACTCTGTGCCGCCGCCCGCACCCGTCTGCCCGCTGTTTCCGCCGCCTCGACGATCTGTTTCGTCGTCGCTTTGGCCCGGCCTCGGACCTCCCTGACTGGCACAGCCTGCTCCGCCAGGGCGTGCCGATCTTTGAGTTAGACATGGATCAGATAGGTGCTGCTTTGCATGCCTTGTATTGTGACGTTGCTAGTGTTGCTGGATCTTATTACCCTGTGTTCTCTAGTTTAGGTGTTGCACCGTTGTGTAGCCTAGCCTCCCCTGCCGTGTCAGGCGTAGGACTGCCTAGTTTGTCTAGCCTCGTCTCTGCACCGGCTCCGTTCCCTGCCCCCGCCACTGCTGTGCTGTCC